TATTTCAGTGCTATATCTGTTCGCGGTTTGGAGACTACTTTCTCGATCAACTGTTCTCATTTCCAGGTCACCGTACCGGCGGACCGTTAGGTCTATATGTTTTGACATCAAAGCCCCTGCGTCTTGTTTTCTATTCAAATATAGTTCGTGTTTGAAATACGTGAAACGACAAACAAAAATAATACAAGTTCTAACATCTCTCTATTCATAACGTCCTCTCGACTCTTCTGTCCTTCAGCTGCGATAAGCAGATGTTCTTGTATAGCATAACTTGAATGACTGGGCTAGAAACTTATACAGAATTAACAATTATCAATTGCTCTTTTCTGGAGAAACAGAAATTGCAAATCCTTAAAGCGCAGTGGTTATTATATGTACTCACCGGTTCCAACATTAACAAAATTTGAAGTCTTGCTAACTAGACGGACCGGAGAAGGTAATAGTTACTCTGATAGGCAAGGAATTCCCAGAAGTTCAATATCTTACCCTTATCTAGGGCCGGGGCACGCGGTAGCGTAGTTGGTTGAGGAGCTATGCTACAAGACTGAAGGTCGCTGGTTCAAGTCCCGATGAGGTCATTGGATTTTTTTTTCAATTCACCTAATCCTTTCAGCCGCACTATGGCCCTGGGGTCGACTCAGCCTCTAATAGAAATGAGTACCAGGAATATTCTTGGGGGTAAAGGGCGGCCGGCGCGTAGGGGTGACAACCTTACCGCCATCTATGAGCCGCTTATCCAAAAAACGTGGCAACCTTAACATCTCACAACCCTATGGGCCTCCACGGCCTGTTACAGGGATACTTTAAAGAACTTATCTAGGGCCAGGTGAATACAGTTAACTCTTCCGTTCTATTTCTTTAAGATCCGGTACCCTTCCGCCTGATAAACATTCCCTTTCCTTCATAGTTTCCTACCAAAATTTTGTATGCATATCTTTTGTTTACCCAAGCGTGTTTCATGTCCCGCCCAATCTCATCCTATTTGATTTGATCTTATTAATATCTGACGATCAGCATAAACTTTCTAAAGACTTCTACACGCCACCTGAAGAAGGAAACAGATCCAGTTTCAGAAACGCTGTTCTTTATAATAATGGAGGGTGGACAAAGTCCAAAAACCCAGTTATCCTGAGTAAAATGCGAATATTTTCCTATGTAAAATGTAACAGATTGGTTATTATAACGTCACCGAACGTGTTTACTGTGAGGTACGAACTGATTGCACTAAATAGCATTCAGTCAATTGGTTATTGAGTAGGGAAGGAATATGTTCACTGTGAGGTAGGAACTGAATCTTAAAATATTACTGACAACTTCATGTTTCAAAGGTTTAAGATCCATACATTTCTGTGGTTGCCTGAAGGGATGAGTAATGTTTTATTTGGGCCTCACTCATCATATTGTTACGCGACTGTGGGTGTGCAAATTGAAGAATTGGAAAGTAGACAATAAACGGTGTCTCTAGGCACCCGTTCTGCGTTTCACTTGCACAAGCTGTAACTCAAATCAATTTGTTGAGGTGTGACATGAGGAAGTGTGCAGCTTCCGCGAAGTACCAAGGATTTCAGTAGCCACACTCAATACAATTGACCCTCAACATTCACTGATGTCGGTAGCACTGTCTCAGGGTGTAAACAGTTTCCTTTATTCTTATCGCGGTAACTTCCGGGATACGTAAATACATACATACGAGTACAAGCGCCATTTTTAGGGGGCTCGCACGTCGAAGTCCGTCTTGTAACATGTTATTCCTTCCTAACAGAATGTAATCAAGAGAACAAGATTGCCTAAGGCACAAACAACGATAATACCCTACAAAAATATCGCTCAACCGTGTAATTAATACCCTGAAGCTAAGATTTATCTAAATAATACATATGTATAAAGTAAGTTCCTACATGAGAGTAAGAAGGAGCCGGGGTAGCGCAGTCGGTATAGCGACTGGCTATGGGCTGGACGACCGAGGTGTCGGAGTTCTAGTCCCAGTAGGGTCAAGAATTTTCACTTCTTTATGTCATCAAGACCGGCTTTGGGGTTCATCCAACCTATCCAATGGGTACCGGAGGCTCTTTCCCGGGGTACAGCGGCCGGGGCGTGAAGCTGACCACTCATCTCCAGCTGATGCCGAGGCCAAGAAAATGCAGATCTATACACCCACTCCCCCATACGCCTTTATGGCGTAGTGCTTAATTAGTTAAGCACAGGGACTTCACCTTTTTACCTCACAGTAAGAGCCGGGATAGCTCAGTTACGGGCTGGACAACCGAGGAATCCGGGTTCGATTCCCAAAAGGAGTGAGACTTTTCTTTTCCCTTGGATGTCCATGCCGACTGTCGGTACCACAGTCTCCTGTTCAATGGGCACTGAATGCATTTTCCTCGGGGGTAAAGCGGTCGACGAGTGAAGCTTACCACTCCTCATACGCCTTTCTGGCGTGATTCTTGATTAACAATAAGAATAAATATATTATTTTCTTTTTCACTTCATGCATCCTGTTGTGTTCAATATACAACCATCATAACACAACAAATATGAAGATCAGTGCCTGGTTTCGGCTCTGCTACATGTTTCGGCTATCAGTAGCCATCATCAGGCAAATACACGGTTAACATATATATGTTCTGACAGTTGTAATAAAGAGGTTGAATAAATATATTGTTGATTTCATTAAAAAACCTGCGTCTGCTGCTGAGTTGTCCAGACATTTCAGCAGAACAGAATTTGTGTTTAAAAAGTGTCTTAATATGAATTACGAATGAATATATAAAAAAGACAAACAACTGTACGTAATTAATTAAGTATAGGGACAACTCTACTCTTGCCTCATAATAAACGCGTCGAGTTTCCTTTCCAAAACCAGTCGCTTAATGCTGTCCCAATAGATGTCCCCAGAAGCAAGAACAATACGTCATGCAAGAAGCCATCCATAAGCACCGGGCCACGTCTGATCGTACAGTTCCCTTCACCAAGCGAAGACTCTACATTACACCATTCAAATCACACATAACCGAGCTCCACCTCACTTCTTTATATTTACCGTCACCGCCTTGAGGAAACCGCCACTGTACGCGAAAACACTGACCTCTACTTCACCTACATGGCTTTAACATTTTAACACCCAGTTCTATGACTAGCTGCAGTTTGAAAAATGGATCAATTTAATTGCCATTTCAGTTTTCATGTAATATAATTATGGGGGCACGCGGTAGCGTAGTTGGTTGAGGCACCATGCCACAAGCCGGAAGGACACGGTTTCGATTCGTGATGAAGTCACTGGATTTTTCAATTGGCTTAATCCTTCCAGCCGCGCTATGATCCTGAGGTCGACTCAGCCTCTAACAGAAATGAGTATCAGGAATCTTCCTGGGAGGTAAAGAGCTGCCGGCGCGTAAGGCTGACTTCTCCGCCATCTGTGAACCGACTGTCTAGAAAACGTGGGGGCCTCGACGTCTCACAACCATATGGGCCTCCGCGCCCTTTTACAGGGATATATAACTAACTAGTAACTTATTTACGAACCACCCGATTATGCTCTATAGGATCTATAGTCCTACAGAGTAACAATAGGAATTAATATTGATTTTCGATTAATTTTTTATTTTATAAAATTCATTAACAATTGTTGTATAGATACTCACCCTAAACCATGACTGTATTCGGCTGGAATGGAGGCCGGGGCACCGGTTGTCCTGTCAAGAGTTTTATTCTTGACTTGTCTCTGTCCCTCCAGATGGGAAAGCACTTCTACCATGCCACGACGATTAATTCCAAATTCTTTCGAATTCATTATTCGCTATTCATCCCACTATCAGACGCTAGAGAGGGGGAGATGATGACGTCGCTAAAAAGAAACATCGAAAGAATTAAGTGGGGGGCACAGACGGTCCGTTACCTAGCGACGATTGGGGACACAGACAGCAAATTGATTTCATAAGCCTCCCACAAAAATATGGGTCCATAGAAACACACAGAAAGGTGATATCATAAAAAGTAAAAAGGTAAAGGTATCCCTGTAACAGGCCGTGAAGGCACATAGAGTTGTGAGACGTCGAGGCTCCCGCGTTTGCTAGACAGTCGACTCACTGATGGAGGTAAGGTTTTCAGCCTTACGCGCCGGCCACCCTTTACACCCCAGGAAGATTCGTGGTACTCATTTCTGTCAGAGACTAAGTTGAGCCCAGGGACATAGTGCGGCAGGAAGGATTAGGTAAATTGAAAAAAAAACACCTTATCGGGACTCTAACCCGCGACCTTCCGACTTGTAGCATGGTGCCTCAACCAACTACGGTACCGCGTACCTCAAGGTGATCTCATAAGCTTTCAAAATTAGGAATTGGTATACGCAGACAGATACACAGACAGCAACGTGAGTCTATAAGCCTTGTACTTCTTAAATAAGGAAATTAAGCTAATATGTAGAGAAGGAAACGCACAATAGCGGTTGATAATTGTAACTGTCATAGCATATTCTGCGGTGCTGTACACATGTAACGGCCCCCGTCTGTGATCCTGGCCACGATATTCCAACTGCGATGCAGAGAAACTTTGACCGGTGCCCATATAGCGCAGGGAGTGGAATTCACTGCCTCGGGCCTGGAGAAGATCTTGTTCCTTCCACCCAATGACGCCAGCAAGTGCTGCTTCTATCTGGCTGGCCTTAACAGAACCTGGCAAGTGATGAAGCAGAGGAAGTGGCGGATAAAGAAGAGAAAGAGAGGAACATTCTTGTGCAATCGCTTTAACTGCTGCGTATACACACAAATTCCTCCTTCTCTTTCGACACCCCTGCCACCGTCAACTTCTTCTGATATATTCTTAATATAGCACACACAAGTCATCATCTGCTTGCTATATTGGAACTCAGGTAAAGTTTCTATCCCTCTCCTCCCCCCTGGTTTCGCTCCCCACCAATATCTCGATATGCCCCCTCTACTTCCACCGCTACGACCTCCTCTTCTAGACTCCTCAGATTTTCTTAACTCATTCCCCTGCTGGAGACCGCTCTCTCCCGACCTGCAACGCAGCGCGCAGACCTCGCGGCCGCTCTGTTTTCCCACTCACTGACGGCCGATAGGAGAAGAAAACTTCTTTACGCACTGCAACAATCGCCGGCTTGTGGCGGCGCGAGGTGCGTTTAGCGTCGGCATCGCCTGTCGCAGTGAACGCCGTATTTCTAGCTACACGTCAATTCAAAAGTTGTCCACATTAGAGTGATTTAAGCATACACATGTGTTCAGCATCTTATATATTTCGAAAGAGTGTCTAAGGATTCCTGCTGTAAGTGTGTCAGAGTGAACAGTGCGGAAGAACATGGCCAAGGATTATGCGTCGCGTCTCCGTGAGTAACGCACAGTGCACAGTTCGGCAGTACAGTATCTTAGCAGCATCTTCTGTCGTCCATCTGTAATCCCAAAACAACACCAAGACGGCTACTCGGGCGCTAAATTTGAGAGACCCGCTGGAGCGAAGTTTGGAGGTAAGTTTCACGTTCAATTCACCTTAATTTTAATACACATAGATTGAATTAGTAAGAGTCACGTCTAGTCCAGCGTTGAAGTCACCATAATATTTCAGTGTAAAAGATTATACGCATTTCAGTTATAAGAGCAATGGTTTAAAAACTGTTTGAAGTTAGGCATCACATTTAATCTGCCATTAAAATCAGAGTAAACTTACAGTAAAAACAATTAAAACATAACATGAAGCAAGGTTTCACGTTTATCGCAGCGTTAAAGTCACCTGATACCTTGAAATTATTAGCGAACAGAATTTGAATGTTTGTTCCATTTCTATCCCAGCGTTCATATCACCCTGAATGTGCCTGCATTAGAACGCAAACAAAATTTTAAATTATAAACGTTTAGGTAAATATTGTAGCCTTCATTTAAATTTCAGCTAGGTGTAAGCACAAAAGTGTAAACAGTTATAGAAGTGCAAATAATCAAGGAAGGTCCAGTGACCGGTGACGTTGCTGCTTCTCTGGGAAACACGAGTATTGATGTGACGCATTTAACCTCATTCGCAAGCTGATGCGAAAAGAATTTATTTAAATAATTGAACTGAATATTCTGAAATCAAAAGTTATGCAGAAACGTAAAAGGTAAAGCTGTCCCTGTGCTTAACTAATTAGGCACTACGCAATAAAGGCGTACGGGAAAGTGGATTATTAGATCTATATTTTCTTGACCTCGGCACTAGTTGGAGGTGAGTGGTCAGTTTCACGCCCAGGCCGCTTTATCCCCCGTACACATTGTATAGGAAGTTGGGTGAACCCCAGAGTCGGTTTGGACGATTGGAGAAGTGAAAATTCTTGAACCTACCGGGACTCTAACTCCGACCCCCCCCCCCGGTCTTCCAGCCCATAGCCTGTCGCTATACTGACTACGGTATCCCGGCTCTTAATACAGTTACGTATTTGCTACAAATGCGTTGTTAAACTAGGCTTTAAGTACAGCCGGTAGTAGTTCACACAGGACCTATTAAATCAGTATGCGAGAGTCGTGTCCCAATATTTAAAGTAGAGTTTTCAATATATCGATTCGTACCCATCGTTTCTATCTGATGTCGATGCTAAGAATATGTTGAGCTATACCTCCACTGCACCATGCGTCTTCGTGGCGTGGTGATTAATTAAGCATATGGGCAACAATAGACAAACTAACCATCACAGGGACGATGAGAACTTCTAGCTGTGACGTTCCAAGGTATTTCGGGAAAATTATTTATATAGATTGAAAAAATATCCAATTTCTCGAAAGGCTATTTAAGTTAAATTCTATTTCGGCATTTGCCCGAATATATTCTTGGGCATAAAGAGAAGAGGCAATTTAATGACACCCTGGAACATGAAGAACATGTCCGAAAATTCTGTATAACCCTGACGATAGAGACAATACGTTCCTCCGAAACGTCAGTGAGTTTATATTGGACTAGCCAGACTCACACCGGGAGCACGCAATAGCGTACTTAATTGAGGCACTATGCCACAAGTCGAAAGGTCTCGAATTCGATTCCCGATTAGTTCATTGGATCTTTCAATCGAACTATCCCTTCCGGCCGCACCATGGCCCTGGGGTCGACTCAGCCTCTAACAGAAATGAGGGAGGCCGGCGCGTAAGGCCGACGACCTCACCGCCATATGTGAGCCGATTGTCTAGAAAATGTGAGAGGCTCGACGACTCTCAACCTATGGGCCTCCACAGCCCCTTACAGGGATAACTTTACCTTTTACCAGCTTAACAGCCCAAAAGGTACCACTCATAGCCACCCTGTGGACACTCAGATCCAATATACAGTTCTTTGATTGTTGAATTAACACCCGCTTACATATCGGCAGAATTACGAAACCAGTGAACTGGAAAATAAAAATATCAGAACAATAATCAGACATCCCATTGAAGTCATTATTCTCTCCAACATGTAGCGCGCTAAGGTGAGTCTGAAGGCTCCCACAGCCGTCGGAGTAAGATGTGGGACTCGGAACAAAGAATCGTTTTGCTGGCGAAGGCCAACAGCAATTTAGCAATCAATCTGCAAAGCATGAAGTTCTTGATGTTGCATATTCGTGTGGATGACAGAGGCAGTTATGCATTATGATATGTGTTTGAGTGGGTTTTTGGTATATTGCGAGTTCGAACTCTTCCCCTCCGGTGCATTCGCTTCTTAAACAAAACACTAACGTAACTCATGATATATATTTTCTTCTCTAACTTGTTCACCTGATGATGGCAGCCAGTTGGGCCGAAACATGTAGTGTTCGAATATTGTGAAGAGAAGAATGTTTTCGAAGAGTGAGTTTCAAAACATCGACAAATTTCAACAAGGGGGGGGGGGAATTCGAGTGCTAACGTAGAGTACGCAGTGCAATAGGAGGCCGTACGGCGCTTCAGAATAACAGCACTTTCCACAACCTTTGTGAATCTATGATGCCCATAAGAACACCGCTTGGAACGGGTTTCTATGCTTACCTCTTTACTACAGATATTCAATTATGGTGAATCATTTATAGAAGGGTACAGTGATAACAAATCAGAACTTGATTGAGGAGGAAATTGAGAGCAGACTGAATTCGGGTAATGCTTGATACCATTCAGTCCAAAACTTTTTGTCTTCTCGTCTCTTGTCTCAAAACATAAAAATTAGAATATACAAAACTATAATTTTGCCTGTGGTTCTGTATGGGTGTGAAACATGGTCTTTGACATTAAGGGAGGAACATAGATTGAGGTTGCATGAGAACAGGGTGTTGGGGAGAATATTTGGACAAAAGAGACATAAAGTGATGGGAAGTTGGAGAAAACTGCATGAGGAGGAGCTTCATAACATATACTCTTATCCAATTATAATTAGAACGAACAAATCAAGGAGGATGAGATGGGCAGGGAATGTAGCACGAGAGGAGAGGAGAAGAGGAATCCATATAGGATATTGGTGCAGAAGTCAGAAGGAAAGAGACCACTGGGAAGACCAAGGCGTAGGGGGTGGACAATATTAAAATGGATCTTAGATAGTATGAGATTGATCCGGCTCAGGATAGGGACCAGTGGAGGGCTCTTGTGAACACGGTAATGAACCTTCGGTGTTCCATAAAATGCTGGGAAATTCTTGAGTAGCTGCAGATCTGGCTTCTCTTCAAGAAGGGTTCAGCTCCATAAGTAGGTAGCATTTCATGCGAGGGATGCGTTCCAGAAGAACTCGCAAATTCAACACAAAATAATAGGGATTTTGGGGTTCGCATTATTTCAAACTTTGCGCAAAATGTGGGACTTCATTAATATTGTTTTCATAACGCACTATTTCAAATTCTGATAATAAAATATGACCGCAGTTTACTGTGTTCTGGGCTATGACGCCGTGTAATTCAGAGTAACGCCTGTAAGTTGACATTCTACACAGAGTCCCAGTCCAGATGGCAGAATTAGCACAACGCGGACCTTCGTAACCAGGGTTGTGAGAACCTTAGATCAAACATGGTTCTCCAGTTATTAAGCATACATATTAACCCCACGCAGTCATTTTCCTGTGCCTTCCAGTCACTATTACAGGAATCATGAAGCGTTTAATCACTACATACAACTTTCATACGCATCTCGTCTGCATTGCAAGAACGCATGTTTCTGAGAACACACACACATACACACTCATATCCTTAGGAACAGTTCCAACCGTAACATTTCCACCGTGTAATTAAAAAGCTTTGAGGCCGCACGGGCCTCGTCGAGCACGATAAACATACCGTGTTCATAGCGAAACAACAAAATTTTTATTTGGATGTTACCAAATTACAGGCCATGAGGGAGAAGAGGGTTACATAAGGAAATTATGAAGTGTTTCATTCTCATTAATCCAGTATTGATCAGGCTTTTTATTAGAACTGCATCTGGTTGTGCTAACATTTCTGCCAACAGATGTTCCAACTTACCATAGTATCTCTCTTATCAGATGTAGTTATTTTCATGAAGAATACAGCGTTTTGAAACCTGGGATATAACACCGTGTAGTCCGTCATAACCAAGAAGATAGTAATGTAAGCAAAGTAAAGCTATCCTGTAACAGGCCGTGGAGGCCCATAGGGTTCTGAGATGTTGAGGTTCCCACATTTTCTAGATAATCGGCTCACAGATGGCGGCAAGGATGACAGCCTTACGACCCGGCCGCCCTTTACCCCTCAAGAATATTCCAGGTACTCATTTCTGTTAGAGGCTGAGTCGACCCCAGGGCCATAGCATGGCTGGAAGGGTTAGGTAAATTGAAAAAAAAAAATCCACCTCATCGGGATTCGATCACGCGACGTTCAGGCTTGTAGCATAGTGCCTCAACCAACTACGCTTCCGTGCTCCAACCAGAAGATAGTACTCTTCCAAACCCAAAACCCTACATTAATGTTTACAGTTCACTGTGAGTACGCGAAGACGCCTATTTAAAAGGTGAAGTTGTCCCTGTGCTTAACTAATTAGACACTATGCCATTAAGGCGTATGGGGGAGTCCATGTATAGATCTACGTTTCCTTGACCTAGGGCTGTTTGGAGTGGTCAGCCTGACGCTTCAGCCGCTTTACTCCCGGGGAAAGAGTCTCTGGTACCCATCGGATAGGAGGCTCGTTGGGCCTTATAAACGGTCTGGAAAACGTGGCGAAGAGAAAATTCTAGACCCTACTGGTATTCGATATCGAACCCTCGGTCATCAAACTCGTAGCTAGTTACTATACTGACTGAGCTATCCCGGCTCCTATTAAAAAACTATAAACTTTCCTCCGAAAGTTCAATAAATATCAAATCGGGCGGGAGAGTTTTGCAGTTCATTTAGAGACACTGTCAGGCGAACGGTTGATAGCAATGAATTGGGAAAGATCCGGAAGGAACAGGTCACGGCCTAATTTACAGTATTAGCCTAACATTTTCATGGCGTGACTGAGGAAAACGACGAACTTGGGAACAACTGGTGTTCCAAGGTTAAAACTGGACGTCTCACGGATA